GTGAAACGGTCTACGCAGGTTAAAAGATAAGAGTATCCATTTGAATCTGGTAAAGGTCCTACCAAATCCAGATGAACATGGTCGAAACGAGCATCGGAAGTTTTAAATGAGCCTAAGGGACATTTATTGTGTCTGATGACCTTAGATTTTTGGCAGCTTACACAGGAGCGTGCCCACTTCCTCACGTCTTTATTCATGCCAGGTCAGCAAAACCTTTCTGCTATAAGCTTGATGGTTGCACGAACACCTGGATGCGAAAGTTTGTGCAATGTGTTGAAGACATTGCGTCGATAATGTTTCGGCACGATTGGGCGATCCCTACCTGTAGATGTGTCACAAAGTAAGGTTTCCTTACCTGTTCCCATCTGTTTGATGCGTAGTTTAAGTGTTGTGGACGATAACTCGTGCTGAAGATCACTGTCTTCTTTTTGAAGCTCGGCGAGTTTAAGAAGGTCGATTCCTTGGAAACTGTTCAAGGAAGTTATGCGAGATAAAGCGTCTGCAACTACATTGTTTGCTCCAGAGATGTGTTGAATATCTGAAGTAAACTGCGGAATGTAGTCCAGTTGTCGAGACTCACGGGGAGAGTACTTGTCAGAAGGAGAGCTTAACGAGAAAGTGAGCGGTTTATGGTCCGTGAAAAGAGTGAATTCACGGCCTTCGATGTAGTGTTGGAAATGCCGTACTGCACAATATATAGCTAGGAGTTCCCTACCGAATGTGCTGTACCTCGATTCGGTGTCTAGCAATCTTCTAGAGAAAAATGCCAAGGGTTGCCAGGAGTTGTTAACCTATTGTTGTAAGACTCCTCCGATTGCTGAGTCGGATGCGTCTACTGCGATGCTAATGGGTGCTCGGGTGTCCTGATGTGCGAGCATTGTTGCTTTAGCAATCAGTTCCCTAACTGTGGAGAATGGTTTTCGTGCGGTCCCGTCCAAATTAGTGGATTTCGCATTTCCACGAAGTTGGTCGGTCAGAGGTTTCATGAGTAATGCGCATTTCGGTATGAAACGTCTATAGAAACTTACCAGGCCGTTAAACGTGCGTAATTGCTTGACGGTGGTTGGTTCTGGGTAATCCAGAATGGCCGCCACTTTGGTTCTAAGGGGTCGAATGCCTTGAGCATCGATAGTGTGTCCTAGGAAGTCTAAGGAGTCGGTTCCGAATTGGCATTTCTGAACGTTTACAGTAATGCCATGTTTTTGAAGTCGTTCGAAAACAAGATCCAGATGCTTGAGATGTGTTTCTCTGTCCGGACTTGCGATTAAACAGTCATCAACATACGCGTGTACGAAGTTGAGACCTCGAAAAACGTCGTCTATGAATCTTTGGAATGTTTGAGCAGCATTCCTTAGACCGAAAGGCATTCGCAAAAATTCATAGAGCCCGAAAGGAGTTATGATAGCTGTTTTCGGTATGTCGTCAGTAGCCATAGGTATTTGGTTATACGCTTTAACCAAGTCGATTTTCGAAAAAGCAGTTGTACCTTTCAAGGTAGCTGTCAAATCGTGAATGTGAGGCAACGGGTAACGATCGGGAATGGTTTTCGCGTTCAATCGCCGATAGTCACCAGTTGGATGCCAATCGTTGCTGTTCTTTTTAGGGACCATGTGCAACGGAGATGCATATGGGCTACTTGACGGTCGTATGATCCCCAAGTCTATCATGTGATCGAATTCGTTTTTCTCTAACCTTAGCTTTTCGGGAGCTAGTCGTCGTGCTTTAGAAAATACAGGTGCTCCTGTAGTCGTGATGTAATGTGTAACATAGCTGGTTACACACGGTAGTTTCGATTGAGTTTGTTGAATCCCAGGGTACTTATCGAGTAGTGGTTGATAGAGTGGGTCTATCATATGTTTAACTGTGACTGGGGATACTCTACAACCAGTAAAAGAAGTTACGCAAACGGACAAATTAGTGTTCCCGTCTACTAGCCTCCGTTTGCGAGTGTCGATGATCAGATTGTGGTGTTGTAGAAGGTCCATACCATTGATTGGCATAGAAACATCTGCAACAACGAAAATCCAGTGAATGGGTTTGCGTAAACCCACGTTAAGGTAAACGTACGTTTTGCCATACGTAGTGATCGGTTTTCCGTTTGCCGCCTATAAGTTAAAAGCCGATTCCTGAAGCCGGTCGTTAGGATTCGCTGGGAGAACGCTAACTTCTGCGCCAGTATCGACGAGGTAGCGAACTCTCGTTGTCACATCCGTGACGAATAACAGACGGCTATGTTCGCCGGCTACGGTTGCCGTTAACGCGTGCCGGCTTGGAAGTTTCCCGAGTTGTTTTTCGAATCAGTCGGTTTCGTGTTGGGAAAATTGCAGGGTTTTCTGCAATTTCTGGAAAGCTTTCCATACTGGTTATGATACCAGCACCAGTCGGGGTTATCTGTCTCTCGTGGTGTCGAGACAGATCGCTTACGTGAAATGCTTCTACGTGGTGTGTGCGATCTCTTACGGTCGGTACAAAGACTAAGATAACGCGTGAGTGTGTGACATAAGTCGGTTATATCATTCTGAGTCGTTTGAGGTTTTTCTTTGACTGAAAATACCTCGGTAGTAGGTTTCGTAATTTCTAAAATGCGGTCGGCAGATGCAGCTAGCTCGTCTAAGGCGTTGTTCTGGAACGAGACCAGAACTGCTTGCACCTGTTGGGGAAGTTTTGACAAGAAGAGTTGTTTGAATAGACCTTCGTCGAAAGTTCTTGGGCCTATTACCTCTCTCATCCGTTGCAACATGTCTGTCGCAGAACCGTGTTGCAGGTCGATATTGTTGAAGAGTTGATCTACCCTTTGTCGATCGGTTAGGTCTCCTCATTTAAGAATCGAGCGTTTTAAGATTTCGTAAGGATCGGAAACATCACTAGTAAACATACTAGGTGTTACGTACCTGTTGAATTCGCGCGGTAGTGCCTTGACTACTGCGAGGAATTGTGCACGTGTGTCGATCACGCCGTGCTCCTGGAAGTCGGCTTCTGCGTAGCAGAACCAGGCTTCGATGTTGTCGGGCCAGAAAGGCATCAGTTGAAACGAAGGTGGGGACAAAGTCTTAAGCTTGAGTACTTTAGGTGTCTGTTCAGTCATGATGAAGTATGATAATGAACGAGGGAAAAATATATATATATCCAAGAAGAAACACGAAAAAAATGACAATGTTTAAAAAAAAATAAAAAAAATAAGGCAATGATATATAAAAATCCCAAAAGGGAACAGACTCACAGTTGCAATTAGGTGTACCAGATCACGTCGGTCTCACCAATGATGATGTCACAGGTATTCAGTGTTTGACAACGCTTCTACCAGTAACACCTTCTAATATATTTCGTTCCCGCCCAGAGAAATCAAAAGACAGAGTCGAGGAGATCGGAAGAGTATATTTGGCGATGACCAATATATCGGAATTCTCTGATCTAATCTGGCTAGCGATTGCGGTTGATATTGAGCACGGCGTTACCACACGTGATCTGGTGTGGATGCATGACCGAGCGCCTTCAGCTAGATGAGTCCACTAAAACATATGGTCAGCATCCAATGTCGAAAACTTAGTGCTATTTATTTTGGGGATTTATTTACCGCTACAGGGAAAGTTAGTAACCTAGTCGTTTATACCATGAACAGTATTGAGGAGAAAAAGACACGACTGTTCCTGGATAAAGCAAGAGATCCTACGTTTACCATGGCAAATGAGAAACTTAGGGACAGTCGCCATCATTGTAGGAACAGAGAGTGAGATGGAATGTCATAAGTTCATCCAGAGTAAGTGTATACACACAACTTATGTATCTCGGTGGAACTATGAAAACCAACTGTCATAACCTCTAAGCAGGTAGATGAAGCCACTATTGTCATACATTAACTACAGGACAAGAACGTGCTCATGGATTCCCGGTTTGAATGAGTCGTTTAAGAGAGAACTAGACGCATGCAGGAGCATACTAGAAGAGGACCAGCGTGGAATGGATTTGTTGTATTATTCATTCAACAGGATGTAAAATTCTTGTTTCGCTATCAAATATGAACCATTGTGATGATTCACCTTGCTAGACAAATCACACAAACTAATGTCATGGATATACAAAGCTCGGTAACGCTGTCGTCCGAAGCACCTATTTATACGAGGATCCCAAAGCCAGTTTAACAAAAAGTTAATAATGAGGGGATGCGACGTGCACGGAAATGCTCGATGTGTTGAACTATATAAAGTGTAAGCCGACCACTTTAAAAAGATGGTCATCTCAGCTTCTCCAAATGTGATTTTGTGAGGATGTTTGACCAAGCGACTTCAGAAAAACTAACGAGGTCACGACCAATTCTGAAGACTTACGAAACTATTTGTTCCAAGTATTTATTTACCTCTAAGTGAGGATAACTCGGATACGTCAGAACAGGGAATACTGGTTTCAGAGTAACTTCTGATCAATTAATTCAGAGAAAAAGTAAAAATTTAAAGATATGGTTGTAAGGAAGAGTGGAACTGATTCACACTGAAATAGTTGGTTCCTAGTGACATAATATTGTCCGCGTCAACGTAGAATATTTGAAAAATACATTCGTTGAGTATTTTGCCACCGTAATTGCTTCATTTTCTAAGCGTTTCGAAGTTAGGCAAAAATGAACACTATCGTATCTTTAATCTCTATTATACCTAGGTTCCTATCTGGAGGTATTGGCAATCCATTGCTACTGGACACGGAAGCCCGTTAAGCGATGGTTTCTTTTACTCCGTCCACGACCATTTGAGCTTTTTTCAAACCCCAGATATAGATTGCTATTAATATTTTAAAACCCTACTACGATTTTAATACTTGAATGCATGAGTCGATGTAAGGTAGACCACCATTGAAAACCTGGAATCAGTGGACGGTCGTTTTATACTAATATGATGGTACAGTTTACACAGACTCATAAATGTAGCTAATAAAATTACTGCAATCTCCACGAAGCCAATTCTGATCATAAATAAATTTCTAACAACAATTGGGAGTTGTATGCTAACCTTAAGTAAAAGCGCCACAGCTAATGGATAGCGGTTCAATGATACTAGAATGCTTCCGATGTGAACAATGAGGGTCTCTGTCGATGAACAAAGAAAGTAGAGGTAACTTTGACACCTGGAGTTCCAGAATGGTTTCTGGGGTTGAGTTTCGGTGCAAAGTAAAAGTTCCCACCATCACTAACCTGCCAACTTTAAATGAAATTTCGTCATCGGCTTTTGAGGTATTGCTTTTGTTTCCGTTCTCTTGAAATGACTGTTGTTTCACTTGCTTACTTTGTACACAATCTGGAAGAGCTCTTTAAAACTTCACTCCTCAATGACTTCTGTCTTGATACGTAATGGTGAAAACGCTAGCTATATAGCTATAGCTTTATTTACGACTGTCCATTCAGCTATTATTTTAGTATATTGTCTTTATGTATATTGTTATTTGGAAAACGTTAAGGAGCCCCACCAGTTGGTTTTAGCTTTCAGTTTTACTCATTCGGCTTGAAAATTTTAAAAGCGAAATTAGGCATAAGCGCACTAAGACTTGTGTCTTTCAGTCTACCGATAACTTTCACATTCTAAATCTCTGCTTTGACTTTAGTAGCATCCTTGTCTAATAAGTCTGCTCTGTAGTATACTGGTTTATCTCGTCACTTCACCACAAATTGAGACAAATATCTATGTATAGTCGAATACTTCTGTTGGAACTCGCTTCTTGGAAAAATTCCAATTCCAATAAAGCTTTTAAGGTTATCTACAATATCCCATCAAATTTGTTACATGGTTTACGAGTGCGCCTTATGTGCATTGCGGAAGCCATCGCAATCCATGTTCACAAACCTGACCTTTGCATTCAAAAGAGATTCGTACAACCACTTTCTCTGCCCTGGCCATCACTATAAGATTTCCTTCATAAGAACTATTTTTCATACTTCTTCCGCTTGTTCTTTTTTAAATTTTTGTAATTTTGTTTCTGTTGCTTTTGAACTTTATAACTTCTCAACATTCATCACTTGATTCTTACGTAACTACTGTTCTATTGACCATCCATTAAAAATTCTGTTCCTTCTCTTTTTCATATATTACGCAACGTAGCAACTTCTTGATTTAATAATTACTTTGAATATTAATAATCCTCTTTCTTCCAATTACTCAATGTTAATTTAAATGCCATTATGTAATTATTATATAACGTATCCACTCGATGAGTACTATATCATTATTGTAAATCATATATATTAGTGTAGAGCCATGATGAAAAACTAATTGAAAAGAAATTTCTCCGCTCAATTCGTTCCTTATTTGCCAAATTCCAATTTGACTAAAAAAGGGAAAAGATCTATCTTAGACACTGCTTTATTTCTGACTAGTCGTTAATAATGATTTTGTTACATTGTCTCATGTTTCCTGGGCATTACCTGCAATATTCGTGCAAATGGGATTACAAATATTTTGCAAAACATCTGTAACTTGTTGGTAATTCCTCTAAATATGTTGGGTGACAAGAATAAATGCTTTTACACCACTGGTCAATTTATAATGTTCTCGACTGATTTTCAGGAATTGATCTCTTTCCAGGAGGTACACCTATCGACTTGGAATGCACAGATGACATAGTCCTGCATGGTGAAAACGCTGATAAAATGCAGGGTCTTTTGATAGCACTCAGCAACAGTGAGAGGGTGTTTAGAATGCGCTTTTCCCCTTCTAAATGCAAATTATTGCTTCAGGACTGGCCTACATCAACACCTAAACTAAAGATAGGGAGTAATGTAGTTGAACGTGTCAACAACTTCACTTAACTTGGAAGTCCGACCAGCCTTAGTCAGTTGGTGCTTGACGAAATCTCTTCACGGATTCAAAAAACTCATTTGGCTTTTGCCATCTTACGTCACTTATGGCGATCCCGACCGTTGCTGCTACCTTGATGTGGTGGTCGGGCTTGCCTTTCGTAATGAACCAATTGAGCTATGCTGTCTGGATCAATCGTTCCTCAAGGTCCTACCACGTCAGACAGATCGATTGAAGAGCGGTAAAATTAAAAGTAGCAAGCCCAATGTTCAAGAACAGAGTCGTACTGCTGATTGTATAGAGCTGTGACGGCGTCAAGGTGTTTCCTTCAGGCAACCAGCATAAAATCAATGCTGCCTTCCAACAAGAAAGGGCGGGGTTAGAAAAGATCGACACTGAGAATGCACACCTCGCCTTATCCCACGGATATCCGTCTCCGACCGTAAGGTCCCAACAAGTACGGATCTAACACGAAAGTTACAAAATGGTCGTGTGTGACCGACCTCTAGCACTTGTCTCTTGGGCACTGTGGTCACGCTCTCAGGTCACTAAGACCACCCCTAACCCGATTTCGTTTTCAGGTACCCCTACAATAACTTCAACGGTGTGGGCAACCGGGAAGTGATGAGTGCCCTTATACCTCTAACAGCACTCAAGATCACTGTACTACCACCTATGGCGATGGCAAGGAATGCGTCTATCAACTAAATGATGGGTGTACTATGTAGTAGTTTGTTCTGTCCTACTTTACGACTCCGAAACGTGGCCATTAAGAGTAGGGGATACTCGTAAGTTATTTGTATTTGATCACAGATTTCTCATAAATATTACCAGCATCTCGTAAGTAATCGCAAAGTTAGATGCAGGGTATTAGGGAATGATGGTAAATCAGTTGATAAGGTTGTGAATCTTCATCGACTGAGATGGTTGGGCCACGTGTTACATGTGCCTGGACACCGATTACCACGGCGTGCAATGGTGACTAGTGTTAGGGACGGTTGAAAGAAAGTTAGGGGCAGACAAACCAAACCTTGGCATCAGTGCTTGAAGTCACTAACTTCTGGTCTGAGCAATGTTGGTAGATGAACACTACTTGATTGGGGTCCGCGTAACTATCGTAACCAATGGTTTGAGACTCTGGGTGACATGGCACAGAATCGATCACATTGGCGTCGGTGTATACACTCTCTGTCTTCCCCTAAACTATGAGATTAAAATTGCTTTATATTTTTCTTTTTACCAACTAATTCTTTCTTCCTGTACTGTATCCTCATATGCAATCTACTACTATGAATTTGGTGTTCATCTTTTTGTGCTAATGAGGTGTGGCAACTTGGACCGATGCATATATGTGCCTGGTCCTACGTTGTAGCTGACTGACTGGCCGATTTTGAGAGATGCTGCTTCATATTTTTATTATTTATTATTTATTTGGACACAGATATTGGTACAAGAAGGCACCGAATACATATGCACCACACAAATCACATTTGATTTGTGCGAGGGCTGTGATACTGCCCGGGTGCCCAAACCTAAGCAGGTGGTTTTCTTAGGGGGCCAAACCCAGAGCCTTCGACCTGAAGGTCTGATCCACAAGGCAGTGTAGCATCGTAAGGAGATTCAGTCCCATGGTAGTCGGTGATCAACGATTGGTTCATACGCCATTTGTTCACTCAGGATACTGGAGCCCATGTGCACCATTGATTTGGAATCAGGGTTTTCCAACTCCCCTAGGTGAACTCTCCATATCCACCAACTCGGTTAAGGCGCCGGATATTCGCTTTTCGTCCTCTCAATTTCGTAAACAACATCCCCGCTACGAGAAGGCAGTGAGTACGACTTCCGTGGCAAAGGCTATATATGCGTGGCCATGTGAGAGCATTTCGAGAGGGTAAGCGGACTCTCCCCACTCTCGACCGTACTAGGGCATTTAGGGGCTACTTTTCAACTCGATTTACAGATTTATGTTGACGGAATATTTGGTTAAAATTGAGTAGCTGACTTTTAATCAGATCAAAAGGAGTTCAGCAACTTCACGTTAACTCCAGCTTGCAAACATCTAGCTGTATGATAAGAAGAAACTAAGAGGAAAATCATCATACTAGTGAGGACGTGACGAAAAACAAGCACGATGTAATGGGGTGTTATGAGGCAAATAGCATGAATGCATCCATCCAGATGGTCAATTTCGGACCTTTTACGTGAGATCTTCAACTAATACTCTATGTTATTCGCTTCAATCAGCAAAGTTCTATCTTTTTTACTGATTGAGTCAACCAGCTTCACTGTTAGAGTTACTCAGTATCGTCCGGGAATATTTGTTTAGGCAATTGAGAGACAACTATTTCCAACCAGAAGAATGCAAACTGTAGATGCTTTTACGTTTTTACTCGCGTTCCAGTAACCGCCTGTAGCGGCTTTTTGTCTTTTCATCGGAACGCCTTAATATATTTGAATTTTTTAGTTCATCATCAATTATGCGTATCAGGACTATTCAGGTCATTATGGACTAACTTCCTCAGTTCATTTTTACGTTGACAGGGACAATAAAACCCTAACCTAATGAAAAAACAAATTGATATGGTCTACAAGCAACCAGTACTCATTCTAAAAGGAACAGTTGTTGTAACAATGTATTGGAAGCTTTCGTTGTCTACCGAAATCCGGTAAAATTCGAATTGATGGAGTTTGGGTTCTGTCTCGCCAGCTAATTTATTCAACCTTCGAATAGTCAGCGTGGAACTCTTTCCTTTTACTGCGGCTCGACCAATAAAATATTTTTTATCGATAATCATTCTTTTTAAAATCATGTCATGTAAGGAAGTCGCTCATATTTGTTATTTTAGATCAGTTAATTATCTAAAGACTAGTGAAACCAAGTAGGTCGTAATATATAATTCTTCAAATTCTATCTTTTCTTGTCTAGATTTGTGTAATTGCATTATTTTGTGATTAACACCTAATGTTATTTTTGACCTGATTTTTTAATTGTATCCTAACGTTTTTGTTGCATTTTACTTGTAGTATGACTTTTTACACGAAAAGCAAGTTATTGCTGATTATGATGAGTATTTCAACGCAAAGAAAAATTTGGATGAAACACTTTCCACATCAGTGTATGGAATTCCACCAGATCAGTCTAATCCATTACAGGAAAGCAATAAAAAGGGCATCGAATTACCACGCAGTTTTCATTTCTCTGATCCTCAGTCACGTTCTTCAAATAATTCGTGTCCAGCTTCAGTTATCGGAACACCTCCACCTGCTGCTAGTCATCTTGTTTCCGGGAAAATTTTGGAACCTAGCATAATAGATAGTGGAGCTTCTAGCCAATTATGTAAATCAGGACAGATGAAGGTTTCGGATAATAACCCTGAATGTTCTAGTTCAGAGTTAATTCAGATGAAACCAGGCTCTTCTACTAGTTCCACAATTTTCACATACTTAAAAGATTTTGATATCCAACCTGACGACCCATTCACGATGACTGAACTTAAAACAATAAATGAACTTGAGGAACTTAGGGAAATTTTAATGCATGACTCCATTTCTAGTTCCTGTCAACCACAACCTTATCATTCGACAACCAAGGATATAATAGGTAATCATAATGAAGGTTCATCTGTCACCAACTCTTCGAATACTCACTCCGTAAATTCAGAAAAACTGAGTTATCCTCCTTTTTCTAGTTCAAAAAACAAACACGAAACTTGCAAATTTCCAGAAACAGCTAATTCATTTCAAAACAATTTTTGTTTCGTAAGTAATCATATAAGTGATCATCAAGTTCAAACACGTGCACAAGATGTAGCTATCTCAAATGGCCTTCATAATTCATCTGGATTTGGTAATGCACCGACAAGGTTTACAAATTTGTCTAAGCCATTTGTAAATTCCTGTGTTCCATATAGCATAAAGGTAAGCATCCCATTTTTCCTATGGTTTTTCTATTGATCTAACTTCACTTGTCAAGTAAAACCAACCACATGTAAATGTATTTAGGTGTGAACCGTACATATTGTGTGACTTGTAACGATAATACCTGACTGCACAAATTTCGGTATATCTAATCTGAAACGAAGAGTTTTAGGAACACAAGATATCTTTTTCATGGTTGCTGTAAATTTGTAAACACCCAAAACCAAAGCACTAGTGGGATAGATCTAGATCATTATGAATTCTACTTCACTAATCTCGTCATGTTGTAGTTAGTTCATATATTAGTGGCACACTATGCGAGATTAAAGTGAAAATAAACAGATATCTCATACCAACTGCAAATGTTTTGGTAGGGCTTTACATAGTGTTTATCGTTTAGGGGAGAGATCGAGAGAATCTTTTCGTTGGTATTCGTGAGTTTACCTACAGTCGCAAGGGTAGCCATGCTTTAGGATTTCTCTCCTAATCAGGAAGTTATCACTGTGGCATTTAGATCTTAACATATATCCTGTAGTTGTATATAGAAATAATTTACCAGATAGTAAACATGATAGGGCTTTAAGCCTTCGTTCTTATTTGGTTCTGTCAATAAAAATGAATTAAAACTTATGTTAGCGGAACATAGACTGGATTAAAGCATGCTCAATGAACGATTGCTCTGGTGCACGCTGATTGGCTAATTCTTAACCAATCAGCACTGGTCGATAGTTGGAGAATACTCTAGAATCTTCTCATGTAAAAACTATAAATATACTAACGTTTTCTCTATTGTGCTTCTTACTTGCATCTTACTTCCATTTAACTTTGTTATTTGGAATATAATCTCTTTCCTGTTCAACCGTGTTCTGATTTGGGGACTTGTCGAGTGAATCGGTGTCCGAGAATACTAAGCAATAGGAATAGCTGGGGTCATAACCGTAAGAAAGAGATTATAACAACTTACATTTGAAATCAATAGTATTTGAGATCTGAGTACTCAAACCCGTACTTGGTAAATAAGTTGCATTCATTTATTCTATATAGCAAATTATGTAAAACAAATTTTATTTATACATAAAGCGAAATTAAGGCGACATTAGGCGAAGATAAATTGGTGAAAATAGTTGAATAATTGTGTCATTAGTTGTGAACGAGAAAAATAACTACTTTCGTGTATCTTTATTGATGTTCATCGTATATCCCAGCAGCATCCGTCTGAGAAAATCTACTACATCACCTTACTAGAGCCCTAAGTATAACCATATGACCATATCTATTCTTTAATGGCCTTTCAGTGTTAATATAACTTAATTATATCATTGACTGATTTCAGATACTTCGACCGACATTTTCAGAATGCGTGACCCAAGACATTTCCCGTTCTTCCGGGCAACCTAAAATTTCTGTTTTAGGCATTTTGCTACTAGCCATTTAGCTGATATCAGACATGCAAACTTGATAGTGACCAAATGTTTGGAATGTTTAACAACAGAAAGTAGTGTAGTTTTCGGTGTCGATCTTTTTTGCTGCCTGAGAACATTTGCATGTGTCTCGGTTAGTTGGAAATCAGGTAACTTTTGCTGTGGATGTAAAAGTTTTATTTAACTCCCGTTAACACACAGTGTCAGTATAATTTACGCAGTGATTCCCTTTCTGCAAGTTCAGCATTTGTATGTCATGAGGTTTAACGAATATCGAACAAGTCATTTATGTTTGTTGAAAAAATTTGTTGACAGCTCTTTACGACTGTAGTAACTCCCTCAGACTAGTAAGTTAGTTCATTCTTTCAACCACTTTACTCTTAGTTCATTAATCTGTTAACCATTTATGCCACATTATATATATATATATATATATATATATATATACGTTGTAGCTGACATAATACTTAAGAGAAGTACAAGACTTGTACTAAACATTTTCAGATTTTTGTTCAGGAGTCATGTTTTGGTTCAGTTTCCTAGCGAAATACACTTATTTTGTCTAAAAAAAACCTTCCTCACACTTTCCAACCATCGACCGACTAAAAATTTCAGTAAAATTTTTTACTTAGTTAACTACTTAATCATTTCTAATGAAATATCGGTACCCTCTCATTTCTCTCTACATTCAGTTTCGTTCATACATATGTACTTTATGCTTTTCCTCATAGATAATTGGTCAGCAAATATGTTGCCAACATGTTTTATGAATAAGCATAATTTTAGGCCAGACTAAATAATATTGGTCTGCTACGTAAATGTATTTTTTTCTATTTTTATTTATTCTTTCGAATGAATATCAAGCATATTTTTGGAATGATATCTTATAATAATTAATCAGTCGCCTCCAACTGTACATACTAGTTTAATAAAACAGAGATATAATTGACATATAGTTTATTTTTGGGTCACGATTCACACGTAATTTCAAGAAAATTAAATATCCCATATTTTCTTGTAAATAACTTTTAAGTACTATATACAATTCCTTTGATATATATATATATATAAACAAGTGTTGTTTTTCGATGATTAATTTTAGTCGATTGCCTTCACCAATCAATCTCAAGCCTTCGGTAGTATCGCTGAACAAAACGGTCTTATAAATACTGAAAAATGTCAAGACATGTTTAAAATCTCCACTATTGGTATAAGAACACCTGATCCACATCATTCTCAAATAAGGCTTTTAGAAAGTTTGTTGTCGTGGGCAACAAATTGTGGTTTTTCTCATTCTCATACTCGTCGTCTCTTAGAATTAGGACTACAGAAAAGAGGTAATTCATGATGTCAGTTTTTTAAAAAAAAAAGAATATATAACTGATTTGATTTATCTTATTTTATCTCTAGCTAGATTTAATGTGTATGTGACCAAAGTATTATAATTCACTGAATAATTATCATATACATATTTTCCACATACACATAGTAGCTTGTATGTTTATCTATTGTGTTAAGATTTGATATTTTTTTATTTAGCATCTACTCACTTAAAGTAAAATTAATGAGTTTCATTTCATATCCTGTAAACATTATTGTTTTTAGTGTTTAAGTGAGTGTAATAAGTGTATATAAATTTTTCTATAATGTCAGTTGAATGGTTTATTATTTCAAATTTTACTTGACTTAGTTCTCTTTTCAACTACAATAGCTAATATTGATATAGAATAAATGGAATGTGGCTAGCAGTGGAATCCAAGAAGTGCGTTCCATCGTACCTAGAACTCGTTGACCTGGTTTACGTGTATCTCGATGGGATTATCCAAATCACTTCAAATTGAGGTAAATAGCATACTCGTTGCACGACTGAGTGGCTCTCTGGACTCAGTAGCCAAGTGAATAACGCAACGGTATTTAAAGCAAACGGTACTGGGTTCGAGTCCCGGAACGGTCATCAACTCTGTCATCTAGGTACATCTAGCTGATAAGTCCCAAACAAAGCGAGACGCGCGTCCTGGATCTCACTGCTAGCTACATTCCATCTATTCTATATTGGCTTGTATCATAATGATTACATCGAGGCAACCCGCAATGGACGCCCATATACCAATCAGGACTGATCAAATATCAGTCGAAAATATAAAAATCCGGATAGTCCAGACCATTTCAAATTGAATTAATCGGTAATATTTGTAATTCTGATGTGAATGTCTACTTTGTACTGTTCTAAGAGCTGTAATTTGGTCGGTAGGGGTTTCACTATCAATTTGCCTCCCACTTAACTAGTTAATCTTCATGAGTAGTGTATTGACTTACTTTGACAGTGCACATATGTCACGTTTCAGTAAATTCTCATGATATGTGCTGTTTAGCTCACCAGCAATTTTTTATTATTTGACAACCCGTCTGCATCATTCCATACGTTAAGTGTGAAATCCACCTTAATGTGTAACACCAATGGTAACTGGGTTGTTGTTCCAGGTTTTTTGACTAACTTCAATTCAGTGAGATATTGTTTATTGGTTTTAAATAGTGCTATCACAATCGTTGCTTCCTAAATGGAGGCAGATGTCATTCCTAAGGTTTCAAAATGATGCTTCATAAAAGTAACCAGCCTGTTGTTTGTGTTGAACTCTAAAAGTTACCACCTTAGATTTGTCTTAGCATAGTTTCTTTTCCAAGCAGACATGGTAGTCAGGTAAGCTTGCACAAATCTGGCAAGTCTGTAGCCACGCACATTACTACATGCTTAAGTAGTTAGTCCTAAATTTTGGACGGAGAACTTATTCTAATTATTCCGATTATCATGTCACATATATTTGAGCTCTTCACCTACATGTAATGTTGATTATTTTTTTAATTTATGTGCTCATCATAGTATTTATGATTTTATTTGCTTTTTGAATTTCTTTTGTGCTTATAAAAATGAAACTACCTTATTATTCGCATGGCCGGTCTATTACTGAGCTCCAAATCTCTACGTTCGCTGGATCTTTCAGTAGATGTTTCCGTTCAATATTAGCATGTCCAAAATATACGTTAACATGAATACAATTCGTGTTCTACTTTTGTTATCTACGTTGTGTCAAAGTGATTTATCAACAGAATCTAGACGTAGTAAATCGGATATGCATTTCGTCAGCGTCGATATCGTTTAATCATACTTAAGTCAGACGACCACTGAACGCTTTAAAGTCACTTTCAAACATTTTAGTAGGCATTCGGCTGAAATAAATCTTTTCGATACTCGAAGAGCTAAATTCATTAAGCAATTAGCGACTTTCGAATATCATTACATTACAATTAGTTATAATGTCCTTAGGTCCTGATAATGCTTATTTTGTCAAATTATTTTAATGTATTGCTATTTTACGGAGTTTGGATGAGTCTAATTCAACCAACGAATTTTCATATCAGTTCATTTATGGGTCTTTTAGGCTAAGTTTGTTTGTTTTGCTTTAGCGCTTCAATAATAATTCTTATAAGAATATTGTTGTATCCACAGATTTTTGTCAATTGGATATAACGTCGTGTTTAAATTATGTCTATCGAATTTTTATATTTATATGGGAGTGGTATGTAATTACAGCTTCACTGAACCACTATAAGTAAAAATATCGATAAACTTGTATTAAACAAGTCTGAATTATACCGATCCGTTGAAATATAACTGGACAAATTCAAATTAATTTTATACTGCTGATGATAGTCTTCAACAGGCTTCAAAACTTCCCAGAGCATCTTATTTTTAATATCTTGAACCAAAAAACTTAACAGTTTTCGTACCCACGTGATGCACAAATTAATACACTGACATCATACAAGTTTACCTTGACCAAGAATAAATTGACATTAATATTTCCAGACCTATTTGAATGTACTAAAAATATTCTCTATTGTTTCCTTTGTATTATTTAAACTTGTTAATTTAAGTCAGTTATTTATTTACTCTGAAGAAGTGACTTACATTAAGTCATGAAACGTTAGAAATACTATTTTCCTACTCATTGGGATATGACAAATAATATATTTATTACTAACTTTTTAAAGAAATCAGAAAAATGTCATACATGAACAAAGAAATCTTCTTAAAAGTTGTTCCATTGATTTCATCTTTTTTTTTACTTTAAACACTTTACATTGTACTATATGGGGTACTAATTAGTTTAAACTTGTGAATCAATCTTGAGTACTATAAAACCTATCTCATGTATGTATCAATCCATGTTGCCACATCATATCAGTAACTACGGTTAAGGATTGTATTTTGTGAATTTTGTTTCTTATCATTTCGGAAGTTCTCTTTTGTCAACTTAATGTGGATAAATACACATTGTTTCTTTTTTCATTTTAGCCTTTACATGTCAAAATCTTGAGCAGAACAAATTGATCTTGTTAAATCTTCTTCATACCTTCAACTCACTATTGACAACTTTCTCAACTAATCAAAATTCTCAGAAGCTTAGTGAACAATCAGCTCTTTTGATTACAGTTACACATCCTAATAATCTATTCAAGGTGAGAATTATTTAAAACTGTAACAAAAGATAATTGGGTTCATAAATTGTGGAAAATTAAAATGTATCATAGACCAGTGAGTTGTTTGAAACGCGAAATTAAAATATAGTTTAAACGTTTCCGTAACATTTGATTTGTTCCTAAATTAAGAAAAATGTAGTTTCACACTGTCCGGCCAATAAATGTGCGAACTTAGCTACCTATAAACGATTTTCGACCCTTCATGCTACTGCAAGTATCGAAGGTGTTCGATTTCTTGAACATCTTGCTCACCAGATGATTGTTAAAGATGACTGGATATCATCTGTGCGCACAATTCTAACGAAACACTGAGAGTTGAGAAATTTGTATTCCAGAGCCATCTCAAGGTTATTGAACTTAACTATAAGTTGAGTTGAACCGAACGTCGCCCCAACAAGATATGTTCTGTTCAAACTACGATTGTTCTTATAATGAGTTATGATTCTGTAAATTTAACCTTAAGCTTTGGCATCTAAGAGCTTCCAAATATGTTTTGAATACTGAAAACACAGACGGAGCAAACATAGTACTACTGATGTTTAGTATCTTAAAGTGAATAAGATTGATGTGCTGTAGATTTTTCATAAAATATTCTTAGGAAAGTTCGCCTATTTAGTTGTCAAGAAAGTTGTTTTATTACAAAGAAATTATTAAAGTTATGGAGTTTAGGAAAATAAAAATCTAGTTAAACTATTTGAATCGTAATTGTAGTTTTGATAGGAAAACAAAGTTGCAAGTCATATCGACCATTTAAATGTCAATCGCTCATTATCTGACAGTGCAATAAATGGTATTTTTCAAGTTTATATAGTTTTTTTCGCAGCTGAAATCACGGGTTGATCTGAGCTAGACCACCACTGAAAATCTAAAAGCACTAAACGGCTGTTTCGTCCTAGTGTTAGACTTTTCAACTATGGAAATACTACAATCTTCACAAGTCCTTCATACTTATATCGTTTTTGTTTTGTGTGAATGTGAAAAAGAAAAGCAAATTTGCTTGTTTACTGTTTAGTTGTAGCAGTCTGAGTTTTCGTTTTCATCAACTTAACCTCACCGATAAAGTCAATTACAAGTTTATAAGACCAAAAATGTAACATTATTAGGACTTATATTATTATCTAATATCGTGGAAGGAATCATTTCGCTAAATTTACGGAAGTACCAAGAGAATAGAAGGTTTAATCTGGGATATTAGCATTTTTGTCAATTTAATCTTACTAGTGCACATTATATTAAATGAATTGAGTAACAGTTTCAGAATATTCAAAGCACTTTTCACAGAGTATATAATTGGTTCAAATTTTCACTCAATATTGTCGTAGGAAGTGATGTAATTGGTGAAATAAAAAATATTACTGGATGGAGTGTTAAACATCAGCTGTAATGATAGATATAACTCAAGATAGTAATTGCTCTTGAATGTTATAGGCTTTTATAGATAGGTTTCATTGTTTTTATTGTTTTCTTATGGGACTTATTTTTTCTTTGACGGGATTCATGTCTGGATTCCTAGTTTGCAGCTTTCTCGAAATTAGGAAGATTTGTTTAACTTTGTAACTGGAATCTAATCCCGATTGCTTTTTTGAGTAGCATTATCACAAAAGAAAAAAGGTTATATCCCACCTTTCTATCACTCCGATTCAAATTAACCGAGAAGTGTGAATAAAAATGTCTTTTTTAACTTCAATAAAATCAAGTTACCCTGTGATTCAAGGTAAAAGTTTCATATCGTAAGGCTAGATATTTTAATTTTAACTAGACGATTGTTTTAGTCTGGTACATGTCCTTCCGGGAATATTTTAATTTGTTGTAATAGGTTCAAAAGACCTCAGCTTTTATGGCGAACGTATTTAACGTAAACCATCAATTCTTGCTCCTATAATTGATTCGTCTCATGATGACAGCGTGATTTATCTTTGTCATAAAATTTACCGTTTCAATAGCACGTGATGGTGACATTTTTAACTATACCCATTAAATCCACTAACAATTATCATATAAAGTCAGTAGATAAAATCTTAGTTTTGAAAGATATATTGATGGAACAACTTTTTTATTGCATAACATTTTTCAAGGACTCAGTGTGTAAAATGAAATTCGACAGCAGTTAAGTGATATGATATAGAATTCCGTCATTACATGATTCAGGTTTTCTTGGCTGCCCCAAAGGTAACGGTCGACTATTTATTATCCTTATGGGTTCCGATCTTGATATTACACAGATGTAACCATCATTTCTCATTCATGATTTTTTCTGATTGCTCAATAATTCGGATTAACTGTCCCTCATTATACTCATATTCCTACCTAGAATCTCTGGAGGAAGCAACTGCAATGGCTCACTTGTAACCTCTTTCATTGCAATACAGCATTAAGGTTTGGATTTCTGAGACATTATCACTTCCCTCACGATCACAGATGTGCTTTATTGATAAGTGTGAAATACATATCCAGGGTTTTCTATGTATTGATTTCAAGACAGAAAGTGATGATTATCAGCTTGAAATTACAAGGAATAAAATATTGGTAGAGCTTCGTTCTGTAAGCTGAATGGTTTATTTGTAAAGCGTTCACTGTTTTTCTACACAATATAATCAGGACAAACATCAGACAGATGTAAAGTATTCGAATTTCTCCATCTATGGCTGATGGTTTGTTCTTCAACCTTGATCCTGAGTAGTTATTTCTAACCATTAACATGTCGTCTTCATATTTATTTTGACTGTACAGACTTGGAAAATAAGTCATTTCTATTTAGAGGATAATCTCATATGTTGTTTCTTATTCGTACTATTTGTTTAAAAACATTTGTCGGAAGTGCAGGTTTAAAACCTGACGGCTTTCTAATTAAAACTTAGATTTTGTCATGTATGTGTTTCATATATTTTTACCTACTTCACATGGTTTGATCGAGAGCTGTTCTAGTAATGATCGCATCGTTTAATTATGGACCAGGCTCATAGCCTTAGTATATTCATCTCAGCACGGATACAGAAGGCTCGACTAGCTTTTGCCAACTTGCGTCATTTACGGCGTAGGCGAGATATCCATCTATCAACCAAAGGACGTGTTTACTGCGCAGCAGTTCGTCCCGTCCTACTTTATGGCAGTGAAACATGGTCGGTAAGAGTAGAGGATATTCGTAGGTTACTAGTATTCGATCATAGGTGTCTTCGAAACATTGCTCGTATATCATGGGACCATCGAGTAAGTAACACAGTTGTTAGGAAACGGGCACTAGGTAAGGATGGCAAATCAATTGATGAAGTAGTGAAACTTCATCAGTTGAGATGGCTGGGACACGTGTTACGTATGCCCAACGACCGACTACCTCGACGTGCTATGTTCAGTGGTATAGGAGTAGGTTGGAGGAAAGCTAGGGGCGGCCAAACCAAAACATGGCACAAGTCCATGAAATCACTAACAAATGGACTGAGCCATGTTGGTAGGTGTAGACTACCTGGTTGGGGACCACGAGATGATAGCAACCGATGGTTAGAGACCCTGAATGACATGGCTCAAAATCGTTTGCAATGGCGCAGGTGCATCCACTCTCTGTGTTCTCCCAAATTCTAATCTTGTGAATTCTTCATGTGCCTTTTTTCCTCTTTCCAAATTTCTTTCACTGGATTATACTCTTTAAATAACATCTCCAAACCCTAATCTTCCCGATTACTGCTTATACTCTTATTACCTCTACCACTACGGGATTTGAATCGACAAGTGCATCTCTGTGCTAATGTGGTGTGGCAACTCGAACTGATGTACGTACGTACGAAGTTCTACGTTGTTACTGACTGACTGATATTCATCTCCAATTAATTTCAAAAGTATTTTTAAATTGCTACATCGTACCTGCATAAAATAATTATGTCTTTATACTTCTTGTTTACTCTAGGCACAACAATTGGCTCGCCTAGTTATTTATCTAGAACAAAGAGGATTCTCACAAGATATGATCTATCGCTATATACAAAATCCTCATTCCATGGAAAACGAAGAAGTGGCCAAATTTCTCAACGATTTAACGACACCTGCCAGTACTGTTCATCAAGTCAGTCCTATGAATTTTCCATCATCAAAATCACTTAGCATGAAATACCCAGAAAGATGATTGTGAAGACGATGGAAAGTATTCTTTCATTTTCTGATGTTCATTGTTTTCAAAGAAATTTTTCTAATATCAGTCGTATACCGTACTGCTAATGCTGTGATCACTAAAGCTTTTCAGATTTCTTAACAACCAAACATTTCGTTTTCTTCCATATAATATTTGTACTACTTTCGTATTATATTCCTATTATGTTTGCAGATAATAAATAGTAATGGTATAAGAAGAACGGATCGTGTCAACCAATTTTTTTATCAGTTTGACTTTACCTTTTCTCAGGTTTGTGTCGAATTCACAGTAATTAAAACTAAGAGGCTCTGTGTGTTCACTCATTTTCTCTATTACATATATGAAATCGTTTGTAATTAACTCACAAATAACTACCAGCTGACAGTTGTTTGATATTTTCTTTTAAGAATTATTGTATGTATACATATATAAGGTATATGTAGTTTATATTTTTAAATAATTCACAGATGTTTATTTTCAAGAATAAACTTATTCAAACATTTCCTAAAATATCTTTCCTCAAAGAATTTCATGGACGCATTTTTCGTTTGTTTCTGTGAAGCATTTATTCTACTGACATGTGGATAGCATTAGATGTAATACTCTTCTTGGATTGACAGTTATTTAGTATAGTGGATTTGCGGTGAGTGTAAAAAGTTTTACAGTTTAATATACTACTAGGGAGTCGCATAGCACGATGAAACGGCCTTCTAGGTTTACAATAGTTGTCTAAGATCAGTTCATGATTTAAAATGTGAAAATCATTTATTTCTCAGAGCTTTTGATCATGCTTCCAGAACTGACTGCAACATATAAATGTAATTTTCGTTGTCTACCGGGATTTGACACTGACATAATATTAGGTCCTGATAAAAACTATTACGTCAATTGAAGCTTCCAGTTGGCTTCCAATACTTGTGAATGAAGGATTGATTAAACGATTATGGTATTAACAGTTCTGTTCCTGGCACACAGTTCAAAAATTAACCGCTAAAGCAAGTGTGCGAAAAACTCGATATCCATCTAAATTTACTTGGAATATTACAACTCATTGCACATAGTAACGAAGGCATGACCTTCAGACATACAGAAAATTAATTAACTAACTGTAGTAGCAGCCAATCAAGAGATGACAAAGGTCATGCGAAAAACCGGATTACAGAAGGAACACTCGTGTTTATCGCTATTACTGAAGATTCACCATTATTTACAAAAGCTGAGCAGCTTTTTAATTGTCTAAGCACATGCTTGTCCTCGATTCCTGTCCTAATTCTTTTAGGACGGGTATCTAGTTAAAATTTCCTGTGTCACTAACTGAAAAGAGCTGCGAAAATCCTTCGGCAATGCCGAAATGTCATCATCCTATTATTAAAATTATCTCAATAATTAAAAGCGAATGGAACCGTGGTTTTTCTTGTGTTGGGCCTTCTACAATACAAAGAATTAGTTCTTGACTGGATCGACTAAAATACCGGATGACTTCTTTACATAAGTTAATGTGTTGTTATGGATTCTAAAATACATGAAATCAATGATTTGTGGATGAGATATCGATTTCGGACGTAGATCCGAATGTCACAAAAGTGAACAGTTGTGCAACTAACGATAATTTGGAGATTAGCATTCGCTATTCTTCCCTTCTTAGGGCCATTTTAGTGCATACTAGTCACCACTAGCTCCAATCATTATTCCTCTTGACAATATGTCACAATATTCATCTGTTCACCTTTGTAGACATTTTTTCAATATGTATCAGTAATCAAGTCTTCCCATGGAATCTCCTCTAAACATTTGGTAATGAGTATTTTGCAAAGAAAACATTAATTAGCATCAATCCTGTTTATTTAAATTACCGAATTATGTAACCAAATCAGTATAATAATCAACAAAGGCGACCATGAATAATACTTCGTCTTCTGAACTTTACAATTTCTTATTCTTCATTATTAATATAATCAATATTTTCAAATGAGATACTTCTACCTGCTGATTTTAATAAATTTAAAATTAGGAATGATTCACTTTCATCCGTATTGTTCATAATGGTGTCAGAAGATTTATCTCTTGTAATTTTTCTAGGTATCTGAAAACTGTAATAAGCATCTGTTAATTGTTTAGTTTTCATTTTAGATTTATTCTCATCAATTTTTTTGTTGTCATCAGCCGCCCCTCCACCAGAGGGTGTCGATGTAGCTAGTGGTTTGTAAATGTGGTTTTTCGTAGATGATAATATCGGCAGTTGTTTAGTGATGAAGTCACTCGTAATAATCGACTCATCATGAGTGTTTATTTCCTCTGTTGGTGGAGTCTCACGTTTAAACTGATAAAACCGAAACGAAACAAAAAGTAGGAAAACGGTTAGCAAACAATTATTTGATCGACGAATAAGGAGATATCTTAAAAATTGTCCTCAAATAATGATCAACATATACCCTAAATTGTTTGAAAAAATCTAGATGAACGGTGCTCTTGAGGCACATGAGAGATACACTTCGTTAAACATTCGTATCAGTCCAGTAGAGTTACATCTAGCTATCGAGTCATATGGGAAGAATTACATTACCGATTTGTATTGCTAATCACTAACAGACACAACAGAATGTGGTCAACTGCAATGTCAACACATTTGAACTAAAAGTAAGTGTTTCACAAACGATTATTTGTGTCCCAGCTTGAAACGCAACTGGGATAGATTATTATTAGGATATTCTTTAATAAACCATTTCGATAGAGGAATAAGAAGATGGAGTTGATCTAAAAAATGTGATGTATTTACGTTATACATTTCGAATAATCTGTTCACACATCCTTGTCAGGGCATTTTATATAAAGACTAATGAAGGTCAATTAAATGAAAGTCTAAGTAAGCAAGGTAATGAAGGGGACATTTAATGTTCTCATAAAATGTCCTGACTAGTATATGTATGCCCAGATTGTTCGGAGTGTATAGCGTAAATACATCACATTTTTCAGATCAACTCTATCTTCTCATTGCTCTATCGAAATTTAAAAAAGCGACTAATTGCTTTAATGAAATACTGTCTACTATTTAACAAGTACCAAATTATTATTTTTTAGTCGTCTACTCCATAAAGGTGGTCACTTGTATCTAATGTATCGTTAATACCAGTATGTATTTAAAGACCATAGTAGTACGTTCAACTTTATCTTTGAAGCACTTTAATTTACTGGAGGGCCGTTAAACATGATTTTCAAGTCTTCATTTAAATATTCTGTGGATGATCCATTAATATTCGTACTCACTAATAGCTTATGTTTTGAGTTACTCTTCATTACATTCATTATTATATTAACTTTTACCTTTATACTTATTGAATAGAATTAAACCTATTTTACGTCTTACTTGTGTTTTAATTGATGCCAATTCATTTTAGGAAGAACCTTGGTGTCATTTTTTCAGTTTGCTTGTAGAATCATCACTCAATCATGTTATACCATTTCAGACAATCGTCCATATAAACATAAATTCACAAGGTCGAATCTATTCGTTTTTGTATAGTGGAAGCGAATGACTAGTTATTAAATATAAAAACAATTCTGAATTAAAGTTTGTTGACAGGATTCATAATAATAATAATAGTAATAAAAAGTAAAATCTTTTGAAGTAATATTATTGGTCAACACATTTTATCAGCTGAATGTTTCTTTAAACAATCATATTCATTCATTTTTATCTAATTCTTGAAAATGGCAAACATAACGAATATCAATCTGTATTCACCGCTGTTCACAGTGACTTATTTGGTAATTTCTAGATAATCTAAGTTAGGTCATTGAATTAATTTACAAGATATAGTATAATATATATGCCGTTAATAATTAAATGTACCAGATAGTAACGCTTACCTTTGAACCATTTAGACATTTTGTGCAACATGTCTTTTCCATGTTAGAATTTTGTTTTCTATATGGGATGCAAAATGTATCTTCACATCCTTCAACTGTTGAATATGTTTGAGTTGATACTGTTGATGTCTTAGCAGATTTTAGATTGTTTATTTTATCAGGTAAATAGGATAAACCTAATGAATGAATCTTTTCTTCTTGTTCCAAATTTAGATCACTCTTTGAATAATCTACGTGCTTAAGAGCGTTAACGTTTTTATTGTAAATAAAGTCATTCTTTTGTTCGTTTGGGAAATGTTTGACAATATCCTGATTTTGATTATCTTGATTACATATATAAGTTTCATTTAACTTATTACATTCAGTATTGATTACTTTGAAAGGAAACACTAATTTAAACTCTGGTGAATACTCATGATGTTTGAGCGTATGAGCATGAGCTTTTTTAAATTTACTTGTCAATCTATGAAAATTATGTTGAAAAACTTGATCACTCTCTAAATTTTCAAAATAATTATTCATACAGCAATTATTGTGTCCATTGAATTGTTCAAAGCCTGTTGTCATACAATGTCTAGGTAAGTAGAAACAACAAGATTTTAATTAAATAACTTGGTGTAAAACGAGTTGAATAATTCATAATTCTAATAGTAAAATAAAAATTACTGATTTTCATATTACATAATTAACCGAGTAAAATTTATAATCTTGTAATACAACTACACGTTTTCGTGGGTTACTTCCAACAAAGCTATTGTCTGAAACAAGTAGATAATCAATAATGTGTTTGTGGGCATTAGTCTTACAACTTCAACAGTCAACATTAGATAAAAAGAAACAATAATAAGAATTCACATCACAAAGATGAGAAGGACTCAATTAACACATTCACCAAATTTAAGTTATTGTTTGATTAAACTTTCGTTTTGTTGTGGATGCGGAGGAATAGACCAATAATTATCATGTTAAGTCCAATGGTGTCCTTGGACTTTAAATGGACATTGCCTATTGGTCGATGTCTGTTCACTTGTTGAATATTGTACAAAATGTTGTTTTCTATTTTATGGTACGATGTGGTATGCTTGATTGGTATATAAACAGAGTATGTTTGAAATATAATGATTCATATCTCAGAGGTTGTGGCTTGTGTTCTGGACTCAACTGGCTGGGCTGGACAGGGAAGCAGGACCAATCAGAACTGTAGGCCGTTCGTTCGTGTTTACGTGTCACTGTCACTGTAATCGATCGTCAAAGACACGACAATTAGCACAGGGTAAAATTCGACAGTAAACTTAAAGCCATAACACGTTTCTACGAAGTAAGACATTGTTTATAAATTTTCAGAACAAATACATATTGTTATAACCGACGGTTTAAAATATCTTTCTCTCAGGTACACTTTAATAATACGTTGATACGATAATGAGATTAGTCACGTCATATAAGATCCAGGATTCCCTGCCCAGAATAGAGAACCAGATTAACACTAAATAATACCTTATTCAGCACAATTACAAGCAGTCAAACTCAGTGACTTCGCAGTAGAAATCAATGAGAGGACAGGAAGTCACATATTTAATAGTCAGTAGGCTAAGTTCCTGTTTGTCTACACTCAGTGACCAATCGTATTCCACTTTT